ACGTGTGCTCTTCCGATCTCCCCAAAACCCCAAAACCCCAAAACCCCGCTGGGAAGAATTATTAGTTTATTGGTAGATATGAATGAATACATATAAGTAATTAATTTTAAGATAAGTAATATCTCTTTCAAAAACAAAAATAATAGGCTTATGTATAGAATAAATAGTGATGCGATCTATGTTATAGAAGCAATCATTTATTAACCTCTACTCTTCACATTCTCATATCGTAATTGAACTATGAGTCCTCATGGGAGGGATGTGGAATAATTTAATTAGGATGACCATTGTCATTGACAAGTGGGTTGTGCCACTCAGACAAGCCTTCACCGGCGATGAAATCGTCTCTAAAGATCTGAGGCTCAAAGCCACCTATAAGATGATTTTGAGGATCTGGAGATGAAGATCCCATGTAGAAAGGAGGAGTCTTGTGCTCTTTGAGATTTAAACCTCCTGAGGAGTTTTATATATCTGTGATTCTGTTGTGAGTGTACTCGTAGAACATCTCATTTTGGTCCCTAGAGTCGAGATTATATAAGTTTTAAGCTTACATATCATTATCGAAACCAAAGTAATCAATGTTCCTTGCACAGTTAGGTTTTAGTCTGTTGATAAGAATATCGTGATGTAAATCTGAGGTGATTTAAGTAGAGGCTGAACCGGGGGGGTTTGAACTGATAAATGGATTTCTATGGTGATAGGAATCCATGAAAATTCTATCATCAGTGCCCATAACTATATCACTTTAAACATGATGATGTCCATTCACAACACCCAGGTTTCTGCCTGGCAAAACTCCATGAGCAACTCCAAACCTAGGTGGCTCGGAGTGAGAGTGCTCAATTTCCAAATATTGGGAAAATCCTTAAATCTGGGGAGCTTTTTAGTGAGGGACTGTATGCTCATCATCTACCTCTTGCTAGCCGAAAAGGTAGTGTTAGTGATGCAATTAATGGCCCTGAATAATGAGTTATTGATGATTCTAATGCATCTATGCATCAATTAGCTCATCCTGATTCATCATTTATTGATCGTAGTGATCTATCATTGCTTGATTTTAGTCATCCTCCTCGGTGTGTTTATCGATGCTGTTGCTGTTATTGTTAGCATTTTCTGGAAGAATTATCTTCATGTATAAGCTTCCATTTTCCTTTTCATAGGCTTGTACATAAGTATTCTAAGGAACTCCTTAGAGTGGCTTAATTTTTCTTTAAGAAATGGTTTTCTTGCTCTGAGACAGTTTTCTCTGATTATTGGTGTTAGAGCTGTTTCCATTATTCTTGTTATTCTTAGAGGGAGTCTAAAGTACTGAAGGGTCTATTATTATAGTAGTTGGATTATGGTGGGCATTATGATGAGTATCTATTATGTTTTAAGCGTTATAGTGATCGCTTTAAGCATTAGAGTTGGGCATACCAACTGATCTAGACTTTTGTAAAGCTAGTTTTTTAGAAGGTGTCTCAATGTGATTTTTATGAGTATTTATAGGGGTTTTAGATGGGATTTACTTAGTATTTTTTTATTGATTAGCATTCTCATTGTTATGATTAATTGATATTTATTACTGGCCTTAAACATGGGAGTCAAGTTGCCCGTTATTTCTTGAGTCTAATTCACTTAGATTGCTCAAGGAGTTCTCATTCTGGTTGTGCACACTTAACTATAAATAATATTAATTATCTTTTTAAAAATGAAAAGATATATACCTAATATTGTTAGTGGTGGTTGTTTTACTGATTCATGATCAAAGGAAACCCGCTCATCCCGCCGTTATTATTATTATTAGAGGTATTAATCTACTATTGCTAGATCTTTGCATTCTAATCTGCACTAACTTTCTGTGCTTGAGATTGAGATGATTGAAGAACGTTTATTATGTCGAAATTCTCTTCTTCAAGGAAAATTCTCTTTCTCTTTAAGTTCTCACTAACTAGCTTTTCTTGCTTCTTAATAGGCTTTGATTTACGATGAATTTTCTAAAATACCACGCTTATAAAATGCATTTGGCAATTAGTCAAAGCTCGCATCTTTTCAAGATTCTTTTAAAAGCTTGCTTTGTTTGAGGGAGGTTTAAGCCCAGAGACTATTCTCTCTGTGTTTTAGAATTTCTTTTTTTACAGTTATCTTTGGACTTACTTAGGGTAGTAGAATTGTAAGGAATTTGGTACGAATTCGAATGACTCGTAGGGTTCATTTATGATCGGGATATGATTTGTTGGAGTCTAGTTTGGACATAGTCCCAACTAACCAAGGATTCCCAAATTTTGCATTGAACTCGGCAGATTTAAGTAATGATCAGAGCTACTCTCATTTGATTGTTTATTGAAAATTTAGTCATTGGATTAAACCTAAGATTACTGCTGCAAACAGCTCTCAGATTTACTGGCCATCACCATTTGTTCTCGGATTTATTGTTTTTGCTAGTAGTATTAATTGTCGAGATCCTTAATCTAGGATTTGAAGGCAGTCAAAAATTCATTAATGTTAGCTTGTTTTTTCAGGTTGCTAATCGAACGACGTTGCTAAAAATCGGAGATTAATACGTTAAACGGATGCGGTTGCAAAGTTGCAACTGATGATGGACCTTCTCCAAACTATCCAAATGAGTCCATTCCCATAGAATGTTTGTGTCTCATTGGGGAAAAGCTATAAGGCAAGTTTGACTGTTGTTTTTAGAATGCTGCGACAGCCTCTGTAGAGAGAAGTGAATGAATCTAAGGTTGCTGATTGTCTATTGATTTGCTGTTAGAGTGTTAGTTCTGATGTGAATCATTATCAACTAATGTTGATTTTTCGCAAAAAATTTCTAAAGATCCTCTATCTTATGCATGATTCTAGGACTCTAGATTCTTATTAGTCTATTGATTTTTGTTGTTACTCATGTCGCCCCTTGGTCTCAATGTCAATTAGGACTTCTGAGGTGTAGTAGTCGAGATTTATTAGGTTGAAGTTGACTTTTGTGTCCCGGAAGACTGCTAGTGATCTGAGCCTTTTGGACTTTAATTTTATTAATGAACGAGTGCCATAGCTGCCCTTCTTCTTTGGGAAGTAGTTTATGGAGTAGATATAGGTTGCTATTGCTAAGTTTTAATTGTGTTTGTAGGCATTTTAATAATCTTTTATCAAGTTTAAGCTGAAGATTTCAGATAGACACTAGATCTGTCTGTATTACTATTATATATTTATAATTGAGTATTTATCTGTTATATCAACGATAATCACCAATGGGGTTTTGGGGTTTTGGGGTTTTGGGGTTTTGGGG